ACATTGTTTTATCTAAATTGAAGCGATATTCCGGACATAATTTAGGGATGAAACTAGCCTCGAGACGCAGAGCTAATGTAAAAAGGCTGTCTTAAAACCTATTATCTAATTTGATAAAAAAAAATTGAATAGCCCTATTTTGTAAGTAATTACTTGATACACTGCAGTATCTATAATACAATTAAAAAGTGATATAACAGATACAATGCAAAACGTATAATAATGATGTAAAGCTAATCTTTTGCTATTTATAACGAAGAATTAGCGATGACAGTACACAAATGTCACGGAATCCCCGCCTTGTTTTTTTTTGTTCTATACTTTTGGTCACACTGTAACATATTAGTTACTTAAAAAAATAACTCGGTGAGTTTATGAAAAGTGACTTTTACAAAAAGCAAATTTAACCTGTTAAAAAAGATATAAGTAATCATTTAATACAAGGATATATTTTGACAGAAATGCAATGAAAGATATTATTCAATCTTTTGCAGATCTGCTTTTCAGGTCAAACAGAGCTGAGTTCAGTAATTGTCTTACTCACTTAGGACCAACTACAGAAAACATAACACATAATTGCTTTCTTGTTGCAATAACGTAAAAACATAAAATTAGTTTTGGGAATAAAATATATAAAACAGAAAGAAAAAAATCCATAATATTCTTTAATGACTGTTGCAACCGAATAGATTTTATACGCCATTTCACCACTTAAATCTTAGATATGTTATTGTTTCGTTACATGAAATTGAAGATATCTGATCAATAGAAATTTGATATTGATAATGCTTCTAAAATGAATTTAAATATGTGGGATTTCATTCTATTGAATTTGATCGATTGTGTCGTTTTCAATCACTTTGACTCTTACTGATTTGTTTTACTTCAGAGCTTCTAGCTATTCTGTTCGGTATAAAGAATATTTCATTTAACTAATACATTTACATGTATCTCGTTATTCATAAAAATAATACAATAGAAGATCGGTTGTCACGGTTGGTTTTCTTTAAATCAATTATTTTACTGCAAGTAATCACAAGTATTTATAGGCGACTCTAATATTGTGTTTATTACGAACTAATCTATTTAAAGCTACATGATAATTAGATTGTTTGATATTCTGGTATATTACATATTTCATATTTTAGAGAGTTCAGAAGGCAAAATGTGAAAAAAGGTATTAATATACCGTTGGAAAAACTTTTAATGTAGGATAATTACCTGTCAACTAATCAGTGTTTTCTCTTATCAAAGTAAATAAAGTGTCTGCGACAGGAATAGGATATAACAAAGGTGTTGCCCTACTAACATTTTCTCATCCCTTATTAAAATTGCCTGTAAAAGATTTAAAAAAATACTCTTACAAGATTCGAATTATTTTATTACTAAACAATGACTTACCTCTCGCAATTTGTATATAAACACTATTTTGGCATACCATTTCAGGTTGTATTTGAGACAATTAAACCTAAGAAAGTCAAGTAAATGGCATTTTTGTTTTATGCTGTGCCGCTAAATTTATATTTAACTTCTTTGGTCAAGCATGTTAAAATGAACTATGGTCAAAACGTTCCTGAAATATAACACGGGCCATAGGTCCTTATGATTATATCATTGCACAGTTGAATTATGAAATAACAACGCACACAAAGTTAATGTGTATTCACTAACTTACAATCAAACTCTTAGGTAATCAGTTATCATTATTCATATCATGAGTAAATAACTGAAAACAATCATGAGATTTTCTAAAAGAAGACATATCGATTTGACAGTCAACTATCTGGATACTAGTAATCAAAACGAAGTTATTTTGCCGTTTTTGACTATTTTAAAGGCCCATTATGTCTTAGAAATGCTTATTTTTTATTTCTCAAAAGTCTTTTATATTTGGTGTACAATTAAAGATTACAAATAGTTACTCATTGGCCAATTACCTGAACCATCTTTTATTACGTTACTTTTTGGCAAATATACAGTTATAATTATTTGGCATTTTGTATGGAAATACTACTTTCTTTGTTGTTGTTTATGTAGCTTCTTTTATGACAAATCATATCAATGTATCACTTCTTTCTTCAGGTAACAAGCATCTAGCATGCTTTTATACCGATATTTAAATATAATCAAACTCATATTTGCCCTTTCTAAAGAAGTAAACATTTATTGGTTTCTTAGGCACAATGTGCCTTTAAAATATTCTTATTTTCTCTATTTTACTGACATGATGGTGATTCATTCAATTCATATTCTAACCATATCTTTTTATTCTTATTACGTCAATAATACGGTATATTCTGTGATTTGTAAGTGTACAAACTATAGCTTTGTATTATGTTATTGTTGCCTCAGATACCATTAATTACATGATCAATCAAAATGTATGATAACTTGCTCATATAATCTGCTTAAAGCTCTCTCATAAATCATTTCCGTAAGGCCATTGTGGAATTGTTGTCGTGTCCTTAATTTCACTTTTAAGTATATCATAGGATTACAGGCATCATTTCACTATGATATCATTTATTAGTATAGATATATGCACAATAATGCTAGTTATTATTAAAGAACGTTAATTACATAATCAATTGCATTGTGCGATAACTTGCTTTCGTAATCTGCTTAAAACTCTCTCATCAATCATTTCTAAAAGAACATATATTTTTCAAAAAAAAAAAAAACAACTGGAAAAGTAATACTTTAGAAGTATTAATTGCAACAAAACTACATGAAAATTGCAGACTCGAGTTTGATTTAGTCTGTACATGACGGATACTGAAATTATGCAATATCCCTCACGCCCCTAACACCCGCTTGCGCGGTATTCAATTTTCAACACTTGTAGTGTTAGAATTATAATCGCGAAGGCCCAACTTTTCACGTGCGCGCGCGCAAACACACACACGCACACTAACACACAGGTGAATCGCTATATGCCACCGCATCGCAGATGCTGCGGTGGCATAAAAACTTATTGTCCCCTGGGAGACGATGACTGGATTATGCCATATCAATATTTTGTCGCATTTGGCGAGCAACAGCGGGAACCATGGAAGGGCACTTGTAGCAATACAATGGATTGCTAGGTGAATCTCTAAGCCTTTTTATAAAATCGACACGTGTGGAACTATAATAAGGATTACTTTTGATTTACAATCATTCACGTTTTAGAACTAAAAGGATTCGAATTATGAATAGAAAGACCAGGAAAACTTAATGGGACCGTACATGGCGCTTACTAATAATGCAGCCGGATCATTATAGTATTATCATTACACACAATATTTAGAAAACGTGGAGTAACAAGTTCTAACCAGCGGTTTAATTTATATTACGTCATATGCGATGGGTACAATGTGTAGGCCAGGGCTACACCTTGAAACCTTGACTATGTTTAATATGGAAACTGTTCCTGTTACAGTTCCATTGCGAACAATTGTGTTTTATCTTATTTTATTATTTATTTTACGAGTCAATGTACGGTGCATATATATTGTACATAGCATTATTTATGTACTGATAGCGTAGTGTTTGTTTTATATGAAAATAGTGGGAAGTAAAATTTCAAAATTTTATACCCTACTGGAAACTAGTTTTGTAAGAGAGTGGAAATAAATAATATACAAATCAATTCTGTACAATTTTTATTATGAGAAGTCACACATTCATGCTATCAAAAACAATCAAACATTTTTTTTTTAAATTAGATATACATGTAGCTCTACATAATAATAACAAAACCGGCAAAACAACAATGCTCTCTATAAAATAAAGCTTCCATGACATATAGATTTATATATTGCTTATATTTTGTTAACATTTCTCTATACTGATATACATGCAACTTAATTGTTGGATAAATTCAATTGATGGATCTGTTGCATCCATTCTGATGATATTTAAACTTTTAAACCTAAAACAAATAGTAGACCAACCTTGTAAGACAAAATATCAATCAATCAATGCCTGAAGTCTTAAGTTACTTATTAACATCCAATTCTTCATTAAAACAAGCTAAATTCAATAAATAAACAAAATTCCATATAAAGTGAATAGAATAGTTTCAAAAGTTTCAAGATTGTTTAGTTCACTCCAACAAATTATATGCTAACATAACATAAAAAATATAGATCTACTGAATACTGCTGGCAATGAACATTTTTAATCCTAAGATTTATAATCAATTGACATAACATATTCAAGCATTAAATTATCTAAACTATAATTGTTTTAAGCATAAACATAGCCAATACTGTATAGATTTGTTATCACGTACATATAATTACATGCACATGATGTATAAAATGTACTACAATTAGATATTCAAATTCCAAGTCACAAAAAAACATGTCTGATGCATGTGTTCATAAGACATAACATAACATGAAATAAACATAAACATTCATATACCTAGTAAACAATTAATAACATCTTCATATAATTATATGTTTACTTATATACTAGATGAATTTACTCTACATATACATGGAAAGTTTAAAGGCACATTACGCCTCAGATATGAATAGATTTTTATGTTTGTAAAAAAGGGCAAATGTGTGTTTTATAATGTTGTTATAATAGATTCAGGACACGTAATATTCTTATCACCTGCCAACTAACAAAATATCGGGTTTGAAAAGAAAATATGATTAGGATAGCAAAATGTAAACAAAATTGTAATTTGACTTCCATATTAAATACTTATTCATCATTACTGTACTAGTTTCTAAAATGCAAAAAAGATTGCTCAGATGTATGACCAATGGGTATGACCAATGAGAAACATTTTTGAAATATAAAAGTGATAGCATTTTTTTGGCTTAATGGGCTTTTAAATCAAACTTGTGTAACCAATTGAAGAAATACACAGGCATTTATATATTCTTATAGTATACAATAAACATTTAATAACATGGTGTACTTTTATGTACCGGATACATTCAATAAAACATTTCATTGCTTACAAATATGCTGTAACATTATGTTCCTACATCTGGTACAAAATTGTGACAACAAGTTTAATTAACCAATAAATAACACATGTACATGATCGTTTTTACTCAAATATTGTAATCAGTTCTAATGTAAATCTAGACTTCTTTAATGAATATTTAAACTTTGTTATGATAATAACTAAGTTCATAATACATGGTTATCGGTTGAAAGAGGGTATTTTATTCACAAGAGCGATCAGTAATCACATGTGTCACCTCATGATGGCCAATTTCATGTTGGGACAAATTTTGTGACAGACGGACAGACAGACGGACAGTGCACAACTAGACTTGGTACTGATCATTCCTGTAAAGTTTGGATAAAATTGCAGTAGTTTATGAGGAGTAGTCCGGACAAGCTTTTGCGTATCTGGCAACACAAAGAAAAAAACACCTTTTTATCAAAGGGCCATAACTCGGCCAAAAATCATTCAACCGGAAAACACATGCAATATGTGCAAGGACTTGAGCTACAGATCAATCCTGTAAAGTTTAATTGAAATTGCATTAGTGGTATTAGAGAAGTAGTCCGGACAAACTTTAAAATTAAAAATTATTAAAGGGCCATAACTCTGACAAAAATCATTGAACCGGAAAAAGCTGACAATATGCACAACTAGACTTGGTACTGATCATTCCTGTAAAGTTTGGATGAAATTGCACCAGTAGTTTATGAGCAGTATTCCGGACAAGCTTTTGTGTATCTGGCAACACCCAGAAAAAATCACCTTTTTGTCAAAGGGCCATAACTCGGCCAAAAATCATTCAACCGGAAATCCCGTGCAATATGCGCAAGGACTTGAGCTACAGATCAATCCTGTAAAGTTTCATTGAAATTGCATTAGTGGTATAAGAGAAGTAGTCCGGACAAACTTTAAAATTAAAAATTATTAAAGGGCCATAACTCTGACAAAAATCATTGAACCGGAAAATGCTGACAATATGCACAACTAGACTTGGTACTGATCATGCCTGTAAAGTTTGGATGAAATTGCACCAGTAGTTTATGAGCAGCAGTCCGGACAAGTTTTGTGACGGACGGACGGACAGACAGACAGACGGACAGACAGACGACGGAGAAGTGATCCCTATATGTCGCCACTACTCTGTAGAGGCGACACAAAAATAGCACCAATATTTGTATAGGCCAAAAATTGACCTTTCCACTAAAATAAAAATTTGTTTCCGTGAATTCAAATACATGTACAGTACCATGGAAAAGATCAAATGGAGGACTCTGTGATGGACTCTTAGGCAATGCACTGCAGGTCAGTGGAAAAGGTCTTACATACTAAATTTGGTGTCAATCAAACTTAAAAAGACCAAGTTATGCTCTGGACAAGCCTATTAAGTATGAAAATTAACAAAGGGCAATAACTCAAAAACCATTGAGTACAGAGTACCGGTTCTTGTGCAATGCACTTCTTCTCAATATATCTATAAACCTATGAAGTTTTAAGTCAATAGCTTTTATAGTTTAGGAGAAATGATCTGTGAATATGTGAATTAACAAAGGGCAATAACTCAAAAGATAAGAAGTGCAGATAACTAGTTCTTAAGCACTGCATTTCTTTTTAATAAGATCTATCATCTAATGAAGATTAAAGGGCAATAATTCTGTCAAAATCCATGTCTTACTAATGTTCATTGAACAGTGACCTATTATGCATTCAAATATGTGCCTAAAGTTCCAATCCATCCCCATCTGTAGTTATGGAGATACCAGCTTACATGCAAAAACTTAACCATGAATTTCAAGGTCGAAAAGGGCGCATAAATATGCAATAAGGCAAATCAGAGTTACATGAGTTGTGTTCATCATGTTAGATGACCGCATAAAACAAGCATCTCAACCCATTTCCTTCACTTCAGTAATTTTAGATACTAACTTGCATGCAGAAATTCAACCAGTGTGATGCCAATTATACACTAAGTCTTGTGTTACTAAATTAAAGCTCTCCCTATTCTTTAAGTAGTCCAGCTTAAATGATTACTAGTATTTTAGATAAGCAACGTGAGCAAATGATCTGAAATTTTGCACAAAAGTTATTGAAATAGATTTTTATCAAATAGTATGAAACCTTGAAAATAGAATTCCCATCATATCTTGTCAAAAAATTCTCAGTGGAGTCCCTTTCACTAATCTGAGTTACACTAACTAACTGAATAAACTTGTACACATCAATAGTTTTGCATTATTATTAGAAAATATATTTTTTTCCATATTTACAACGTAAAACAAATCATAAAGGAATCACTAAAATAAAACAAGTAAACATTTCTCATCTTATTGAAAAAATATATATACCATTTACTTATTATATATGTCATATAATCAAAATTAGTATATATCATATCAATGGTAATAAAATATACTGTTCCCCTGTCCTATATATCATATCACTGGTATTTATATATACCATATCCTTGTCATATATATCATATAAATGGTATTTTTACAGAACATTCACTTTTACATTCATATAACTAGTATTTTTACAGAATATTAACTTCTACATTCATATAACTAGTATTTTTACAGAACATTCACTTTTACATTCATATTACTAGTATTTTTACAGAATATTCACTTCTACATTCATATAACTAGTATTTTTACAGAACATTCACTTTTGCATCCATATACCTGGTATTAACATATACCATTCCCTTGTCAAATATATCATATATTAACTGGTATGCATAAAATCACTGTAATTTATATAAACTATTCCCCTATCTTATATTTTATAAAACTGGTATTCATATATACCATTCAAATGTCCTGTATATCATATAACTGATACTCATATATACCACTCCCTTGTCATATAATTGGTATTTATATATACCATTTTTTGTCCTTTATATCATATAACCGGTATTCATTTAAATACCAATCCCTTGTCCAATATATCATATAACTGGTACTTTTTATACCATTTTCATGTCATGTATATCATAAAACTGGTATTTATATATACTATTCCCTTGTCTTATATATCAAATAACTTGTATTTGCATGTTACATTTTTTTACTTTTTCTGACCTTGTACATGAAACATTTGTTTTATGATATTTTCATGAAATTTACTTATTAATTTATATATGTACTTGTTTATTTACAAATCTATTTTCTATTTATAATTAGAACATTACTTTTTTCAAATCAGTTTTTTTTTTAAAACTATCCCTGATCTTTAAGAAATAACCTTTACCCTTACTAAGGTCAATAATTATATGTATTATATTTCACTGCATTTCTTTCAATTTATTTATATATTTATAAACACAATTGGCATATTACTTTCTTCAATTTCAATATTATAAATACATTTTGTTAAAATGACAAGAAATCAATATTAAACAACAAAATATTTCACATGATATATATTCTATCATAATGTATAAATAGAGGATATTGAATGAGTGTAGTTTATTACTAAGTTTATTGAATGAGTTGAATAAAATCATATTGTATAATATTGTTTTATTCAACGAGTTCAATAAATCTAGTATTGAATCTACATGAATATAATATTCTATTTATCACATATATAAATTAAGAACAGTAAACTGAGTAATTTTTCAATGATGCGCCCATACTGTAACACTCGTTTTTATGGTATGTTTCTATATAGCGCGTATGACGTCACATCAAAGTGTTATTACACAAGTGTAATATTGTTTTATTAAATGGCTTGATTACACTCCTGCGTCGCGGTTTATGTGATAATATTCATTCTTTAACTGTACAACAATATGTCAATATTTAACTTGTCATAAGTATCATTTTAGAAACAAATTTATGTCATTTTAACATAACATAATTCAGTTTAAACACTATGTTAACTGCAAGTATCCTATATCACTATGTTAAAAATTCAAACCATATTTTTGTAGAAAATGAAAAAAACAACACCAACACATTTATCATCACTATTAATATGGACTAATGTATTTTAAACACTAAGTTAACTACATGTATACTTTTTCACATTTTTGGTGAAAATTCAAACAAAAGTAATCATCATGCTTTACATGTATATTACATGTATATCACCTTTTCGTTGAAAAATAAAAGAAATATCTGTCATCACTTTTAACATGAAATAACTGATGATGATTTATTACATGCTGTATAGCATCATTTCTCTTCCCTCCTTTAAGTCCTTGTAATGTCAATATAAACATACCAGCATTACACTCTTCACCATCTCCTGTTATATATACTTCAAATACACTCACATCTACAGTATGAGGAATACTAGGAAGACTATCAACAAACTTCTGCCATGTTGTCAAACTCATTATTACATCACCAAGCCTAATGTCCTTTAAACTCTTCATCTCTAAAGGTAACTGTATTATATTGTCAGTAAACCTACAATATCCTAACTCAAGCTTACTGAGATTGTGTAACAATGGTAATACTCTGACTAGTCTCTCTGTTATATTGGCATGATATAATTGAGATTTAAAGTGCATATCTCCTTTCAAAATAAGTTTTTTTAATTTGTAAGATTGTTTAATGATATCAAATATTTGCTCATAATTATCTTTTAACTCACTAAATCTAAATATTTCAAGGTTTGTAGTATCAACATCTATCACTCTAACAGTATCATACAAATCAAGGTAATGAAGTTGTTGATGTTTTGATAAATTTACATCATGCTGGTCCCTACATATACATAAAACATTGAAAACATCTATTTGTTCAAGATGTCTGGTTCCCTCAAGAAAATTACAGAATGTAGTAATATCATTATGGCTCATTTTTATTGAATGCATCAATATTGCTAAAAGATTGACCATACTAGGCAGGTTGCTAACAACTGTTTTACACACTGGGTAATATATGTCAGTGTTTGGAACATTTTCAAGAGACAAAGATTTTAATGTTAAAGTATTTACTTTTATTGTCTCAGAAACACAATTGTTAATCTCATCAATTGTCTGTTCATTACTCTGTGTACCATCATCACTTTGTGTACTTGATAAACTTTCTAATGTTATTGCAATTTTTTCGAGATGATAAAAAAATGGTAAATATTTTGTAAATTTAACATTTTTTGTGTTCAAGTATTTCACATTAATAGACAGAACAGAGTCAGAAACAATTTGATGCTGATCAATGCTTGAACAAACAATATCACAATACTGATTGAATTCATCAATGGTCAAATCTCCTATATAAAACACAGGATTACTTCCTTCACTACATGGTGCATTTGATTCTTCTATTAACTCAATAATAAGCTTTTGAATATCAGTAATACAACTATCAACCATATAAAAGTCACTACTTATTGTTCTCCTGTATTCCTGAACACGAGAGTCTTCTGACACAGTATCATATATGTATTTTGAAACAGGTGTTGCTAATCTAGGTTCTAGACCACATAGCATAATGACAACATTTGACTGCTCTAATATGTCATTTACTGTTGAACATTTCTGAAAAACCTCATTAATAAACTTTTTGGTTAATTCAACATATCCTGTACTACCTGATGAACCAATATTTGTATTAAAATTAATACCAATGTAGACTGCAGCCAGAAATTCTTGCATTGACTTGTGAATAAAAGAGAACAATGAGCTTGGTGGTTCTGATACAGACAAACTTGGACATTCATCTTCTGTAATTATTCCAAGTTTCAAGCAATTTTCTCTTACTTCATCTGATATTTCTAGTTCATCAAACATACAAATGTCAAATGACAAGGACTTATTCTTAGGACAATTAAATAGTGTCTCAAAAGCCAACTGTGACACTTCATGAATTAAATGTCTGTTTAATCTTAATTTGGTTTTATCTGCTAAATATTGAGGGAGGTTTACTTTCTGGGTACCCTTCATTAGGCCAGTACTTGTTCCTGTAGTTTTCATGTCATTCCAGGTGAAGAATAATTCTAACATACCAGTGTAGATGGCACATCTTGAGGTTTTATCGAGTTTACCATCAAACCATAGACATATCAGTTGTTGCAGCATAATTGGTACCTGTTTAAAACTTTTCAGAGACTCTTCTTTGAGCTTTTCCCTACAATCTCTAGCTTCTTTATTAGCATGTCTTCTAACATTTAATTGTGAGACTGTCCTACATACCATTTCCCTTTCACATTTAAAATCAAACCCTTTCAGTTTCAGTGACTGTTCAACCTCCACATCACTCAATCTTAATGTATGAAATTTCCATGGCCGTGAAGTAGTAACTATTGTGTATTCTTTAAAGATGCTATGTTCTGGGACATTTTCAGATGACCATTCATCTAAGCCATCAAGCAAAATCATAACTCTAGAGGATTCTTCTTCAAGAAGTGTGTTTAACATTTTCATTTGATAACGTTTTTGAAGCATTTCATCAATAGAATCAATTCTTTGATACTGTCTAAGAGGTATGTAAAATAAAAAATTAAATCTTTTCATCTCTTTTACACCATTGAATTTAAGTTCATAACTTTTGCTGTCATATTCATAGTCATCACTGTTGAATTTAGAGTTTGTTATGTCATCACTTTCATCCTGAATGTCATCACGGTCACCTCCGTGTTTCTTAATGTTACCCATGTGTTTTTCATTTTCAATATCTCCTCCATGTTTCTCGTTTACCTTTTCATTTATAATGTCACTTTCATGTTCTTTATGTTTCTCATCGCCACCTTCATTTTCATTGCCATCTCCTTGTTTTTCATGTTCTTCATTATCACCTCCATGCTTGTCATTGCAACCTTCACTTTTACCGTCATTTCCATACTTCCCACTGCTATCTTCACTTTCTTTGTCATTTTCATGTTTCTTTTTATCATCTCCATGTTCTTCATTATCACCTGTATGTTTTTCATTTCCACCCTCATGCTCCTCATTTTTATTGTCACCTTCATTTTCATTGTCATCATTTTCATTATCGCCTACATGTTCTTCATTGTCACCTCCATGTTCTTCATTATCACCTCCATGTTCTTCATTATCACCTACATGTTCTTCATTATCACCTCCATGTTCTTCATTGTCACCTCCATGTTTTTCATTTCCACCCCCATGCATCTCATTTTCACTGTCAGCTTCATGTTGCTCACTTTGTGCCAAACACCAACAGTTGACCAGATATTTACAAAAACTAGTTTTTCCTGACCCTGCATCTCCTAGAACATATACAGATTTTTGGGGGAATCCATTCTTTGTGAACATTTCAGACATTGTTTTAACCTTTACTTCCTTTATCTCTTCCTTTTCTCCTTTTATTTCCCTCATAATTTTGGGTCTAATATAAATCTCATTAAAGCTACATTTTTCACTTTTTGGTTGTAAAGGTATTGTTGGAACCTGCAGCAGGGTTTTGTGATACTCTTCTATCAGCTTTTTCCGCCATTCTGTAATTTAAATGATAATATGGATTCTAATTGTTAAGAACAAATCAATGAGTAAATATTACAGAAATATATTAAAACAAGAGCACCGCTAGGCGGTACATTATTTGCCCGAAAGTGTTTTTTTTAGTAAGGATGAAGCATTTGTAAAATATTACATAAATTAAATAAAGTATTTCCTCCTTAAAATAGCAATCCTCCTATAAAGTTTGAATATTGTAGCCAAATGGAACTTAAGTTATGCTCTGGAAACTGTTTTAAGTTTTGAGGTAATAGCAACCTTGAACTTTGACCTTATGACCCCAAAATCAATAGGGGTGTTCTACCCAATATGGACAATCATCCTATGAAATTTAAACACTTTGGGCCAAATAGAAATGTTATGTTCTGGAAACTGTTTTCAGTTTTAAAGTAATAGTGACCTTGACCTTTGACCTTGTGACCCCAAAATTAATAGGTCTTCTACCCAATATGGACAATCATCCTATACAGTTTGAACACTGTGGGCCAAATGGAACTTAAGTTATGCTCCGGAAACTGTTTTTAGTTTAAAGGTCATAGTGACCTTGTGTCCCCAAAATCAATAGGGGTCTTCAACCCAATATTGACAATCATCCTATGAAGTTGGAATATTGTGGGCCAAATGGAACTTAAGTTATGCTCCGGAAACCAAATTGCTAACGGACGGACAGACAGACTGACGCCAGGGGGTATAACATAATATGCCCGAAATTCTTTGAGGCATATAAAAAGGAACACAGCACTGAGGCCTTGAATTATAAAGACAAATCAGTTAGTCAGCAAACATTACACAAACTGAAACTCATCAACAGAGAGTCACTGTTATACATCATACCTGATTTAGCCTTTTCATATTTGATACACAATATCTGATTTAGCCTTTTCATATTCTATACAAATACCTGATTTAGCCTTTTCAATCTGTGTATAAAATACCTGATTTAGCCTTTTGATATTCTATACAACAAACCTGATTTAGTCTTTTCATATTTTATACACAATATCTAATTTAGCCTTTTGATATTCTATACAACATATCTGATTTAGCCTTTTCATGTTCTATACATATAATTGATTTAGACTTTTTATTGTCTATACTACCTGATTTTAAGCCTTTTCATATTTTTGTTTACAACATACCTGATTTAGCCTTTTTATATTCTATACAACAGACCTGATTTAGCTTTTTCATATTCTATATAATAAAACTGAATTAGCCTTTTCATATATTGTTTATAAAAAACCTGATTTAGCCTTTTAATATTCCATATAACATACCTGATTTAGCCCTTTCATATTCTAGCTGTTTTTGTAGAGGAGAATCTTCTTCTTTGAGTCTTTTCATCTCCTACAGCATAAAGTATCATATAAATAATCATTGTGTTCTCTTCAGTAATAAACATTCAGTGGCCCATCTCAAGAACATCAAATCAAATTTCCTTCATTAAAAATCAATTATATTGCAATGGACGATTTCCCTACAAAGAATTTTTGACATTTTTGGTGCAATCATACATGTACATTTTATTATCAACGAAGAATATTAAGGCTGTATTGCCTTATTTCATTAAGTTTCATGAAAAAAATTTCATGCCATATTTTCCATATTTTTTGTCTATTTTTGACATTGCAACCAAATTTTTCAACATTACAGAAAAACAAAAACATGCATAATTCTAGCCATATCTAAGTTTCAAAAAATATTTTCATCACTTTTTGGGTGATCGTGGGATCCAGATTTGTGGATGAACATACAAAGGGTAAACCTTTAAAGTCCCCTCTGTACCTGTAGGTGACTTAACAACATTGCTTCAGAGGCAGTCTCTCTTCATGATACTGAGGCTGAAGCACCTCCTGGTTTACCAAGTTCAGATAACAAGTTTATTTATTGATATACTTGTATCATAATTTTATAGATCTTTTAGGTTTGTTCTGACCTGTGAATTCTTACCATGTGATAGTACAGGACAAATATCACAACCTGTGACCATGGAATTCTGGTTCATAATTCAAACAAAGAGGGAAACTAATAAAGTGCCTTGGCTTTGATATTTGTATTTATTTGTTGTCCTAAAAACAAGATTGCATTTGAGAAAAATGCTATGCCACCGCATTAATACAACACTAAATAGTAGTGTAGGGACATATTTTTTTTGTTTCTATACAAATGAAGATTGTCATAATGCATAGGTCCCTGACCTATCTAATTCTTATTATCAGATTAGTGATTAAATCTATTGTTAATCAAATAAAAGATCAGAGCAGGAATATATCAATGCACTTGAGTCTAGTGAATTTGGTGGTGAAGGTCATATTTCACGCAGCCTAAATTTCATGACTACATCAAAGGACAACACAGTAAGACACTTTGTCAAAATCTAGGGAAGCTGATATCAAAGTCCACTTTACATCTTAATCTGTCCACATGGTTCAAATTTCATAGCTGTAGATCAAAGCACAAGAAAGTAGGTCACATTATCAAAATCTAGGTCACCTGATATCAAAGTTCAATTTTTCAACTAAAACTGTGCACATGGTCAAAATTTCATTGCTGTACATCAAAGGACAAGAAAGTAGGTCACTGTCCCCTTGGTCAAGGCAAAATTTTGACCCAAGGGTTTAATTCAAAACAATCTTGATACAGGTCCACCAAACAACATGTCAAGTCAAATATCTAAGCTGAAGCTTTCTCCCATTCAGAAAACATTTGTTTTATTTTCTGTTTTTACTATGTGTACATAATGAGAATCATGCCCCCGGGCAGGGCCAGTTTTGACACCAGGGGAAAAATTTGAATAACTTTGGTAGAGGACCTATAGATGATATTATATAGCAAACATGAAAGCTCTATGCCTTGTACCTTCAGACAAAAATATTTTTTATTTTTTTTACTAGATATACATAATGTAAATCAATGACCCCTGGGGCAGAACCAATATTGACCCCAGGGCTAAAATTTGAACAATCTTGGTAGAGGTTCACTGCGCAAAGTCTCATGCCATATATTTAAACTCTAGCCTTTGTCAATTCAGAGAAGAAGATTTTTCAAGTTTTTACTTTATATATATAAGGCAATCTAGCACCTCTGGGGCAGGGCAATTTCAACACTAGGGGCATAATTAAAACAACTTTAGTAGAGGACCCAAAGATGATATTATATACCAAATATCAAAGCTTTAAGCCTTGTACCTTCAGATAAGAAGATTTTTTAATTTTTTACTCTATGTTCATAGTGAAAATCAATGACCCCTAGGGTGGGGCCAATTTTGACCCCAGGGCTATAATTTGAACACTCTTGCTAGAGCTTCACTACACAATGTTTCATGCAAAATATCTTACCTCTAGCATTTGTCAATTACTAGAAGATTTTTTTAAAGTTTTAACATATCAGGATAACCAATGACCCCCGGGGCGGGTCCAATTTTGGCCCCAGGGCTATAATTTGAACAATCTGGGTAGAGGTCTACCAGACAATGCCTTATGCAAAATATCTAAGCTCTAGCCCTTTTGGGTCTTTACAAGAAGGTATTTTAAGTTATTACTATATGTACATACAGTGAAAATCAATGACCCCCGGGGCGGGCCAATTTTGACCCCAGGACTATAATTTGAACAATCTGGGTAGAGGTCTACCAGACAATGCCTTATGCACAATATCTAAGCTCTAGCCCTTTTGGGTCTTTACAAGAAGGTATATTAAGTTTTTACTATATGTACATACAGTGAAAATCAATGACCCCCGGGGCGTGGCCCATTTTGACCCCAGGGCTATAATTTGAACAATCTTGGTAGAGGTCTACCAGACAATGCCTAATGCAAAATATCTAAGCTCTAGGCCTTTTGGGTCTTTACAAGAAGGTATTTTTAGTTTTTACTATATGTACATATAGTGAAAATCAATGACCCCTGGGGCGGGGCCGATTTTGACCCCATGGCTATAATTTGAACAATCTTGGTAGAGGTCTACCAGACAATGCCTTATGCAAAATATCTAAGCTCTAGGCCTTTTGGGTCTTTACAAGAAGATTTTTTAAATTTCTTATAATTTCTTTCGGTTGCCATGGCAACCAGATTTCTGCATGGAATGAAATTCTTTGAACAACTTTGGAAGCCCTTCACCCAAGGATCAATCCTGGCAAGTTTGGTTTAAATTGGACTAGTGGTTTTTCACAAGAAGATTTTTTAAGTTCACTATATAATCTATATAACACACACACACACACACAAACAAACACACACACACACACACACACACAGGTGAATCGCTATATGCCACCGCATCGCAGATGCTGCGGTGGCATAATTATAATTGAGCAATTATATAATACATATGATGGAAGAATATTGATTTAAACTTTAGCTTGAAATATTAGGGTGTTTTCATTCATGATTCATTAAACAGAGATCAGTATTTATTGTTAACCTGAAATTTTTCTGCATTTTTTTCATTTTACAATCTGGAGGTGAGTGCCTTTAACGAAATGATTGTTTTTACGGTAAAATTTTGTCAACAGTTTAACGATAGCATTCAAAATGGGATATGTGGTATATATATTTTCATAAAATGGGTCAAAGACAGAAGAGGCCGATTGCATATGTATACCAAATATCATGATGCTGTAATGTTATTAAATTTTCAACCATTGACCATTGAGTCCTTAAACAGGAAGTGGATAAGCAACAGACCTCAAATCAATCCCTACAGTATGGAGCTATGTGGTAATGCTGTATACAAAATATCAAGAGGCTGTGATAAGTAGTTGCTGAGAAAACTGTTACAAAAATTTACTACCATTGACCATAAATGTCGAAACTTAAACTAAGTTGGCAAACAGGATATGGATGAGCGACAGGCCTGAAATCTAATCCCATAATATGGGACCACGTGTTAATGTTGTATACCAAATATCAAGAGGCTGTGATAAGTAGTTGCAAGATGAGAAAATTGGCTATTAATGTCGAAAATAATCTACAACAAGAGGGCCATGATGGCCCTAGATCGCTCACCTGACCCATCAAACTCATCCAAACAATTACCTAGACAAGCATTCTGACCAAGTCTCATGACAGGTGAGTCAAAAATGTGACCACTACAGTGTTAACAAGGATTATCCATATTTGAGCAGTGTGACCTAGTTTTTTACCCAGGTGACACATATTCAAACTTGACCTAGAAATCATCAAAACAAACTTTCAGACCAATTTCCAGGATACTTGGATCAAAACAGTAGCAACTAGAGTGTTAACAAGATTTTTCTATTTTTAGCTCCGGTGACCTAGTTTCACATGCGATTTCGAACTCATCTGAGCAATTACCTTGACAGAATCCTGACCAAGTTTGATGATAATTGAGTCGAAAATGTGACCACTAGAATGTTAACAAGGTTTTTCAATATTTGGGTGGTGTGACCTAGTTTTTCATCCAAGATGACCCATGTTCGAACTTGACTTAGAAATCATCAAAACAAACTTTCAGCCCAATTTACAGGATGTTTGGATCAAAACAGTAGCCACTAGAGTGTTAACAAGATTTTTCTATTTTTAGCTCCTGTGACCTAGTTTTTCATCCGAGATGACCAATGTTCGAACTCATCCAAGCTATCAACTAGACAAACATCCTGGCCAAGTTTGATGATGATTGAGGCAAAATTGTGACCGCTAGAGTGTTAACAAGGTTTTTCTATTTTTAGCTCTTGTGACCTAGTTTTTCATCCGAGATGACAAATGTTCAAACTCATCCGAGCTATCAAATAGATAAGCATCCTGACCAAGTTTGATGATGATTGAGGCAAAAATGTGACTGCTGGAGTGTTAACAAGGTTTTCCTATTTCTAGCTCCGGTGACCTAGTTTTTCATCTGAGATGACCCATGTTCGAACTCATGCAATCTATCACCTACACAAGCATCCTGACCAAGTTTGATGATGATTGAGGCAAAAATGTGACCGCTAGTGTGTTAACAAAGTTTTTTCTATTTTTAGCTTTGGTGACCTACTTTTTCATCCGAGATGACCCATGTTCGAACTCATCCAAGCTATCACCTAGACAAGCATTCTGACCAACTTTGATGATGACTGATGCAAAAATGTGACCGCTAAAGTGTTAACAAGGTTTTTCTATTTTTAGCTCCAGTGACCTACTTTTTCATCAGAGATGACCCATGTTCGAACTCATCCGAGCTATCACCTAGACAAGCTTCCTGACAAAGTTTGATGATAATTGATACCAAAATGTGACCGCTAGAGTGTTAACAAGGTTTTTCTAATTTTAGCTCCGGTGACCTACTTTTTCATCCGAGATGACCCATGTTCAAACTCGTCCAAGCTATCACCTTGACAAACATCCTGACCAAGTTTGATGATGATTGAGGCAAAAATGTGACCTCAGAGTGTTAACAAGGTTTTTCTATTTTTAGCTCTTGTGACCTAGTTTTTCATCTGAGATGACCCATGTTTGAACTCATCCGAGCTATCAACTAGATAAGCATCCTGACCAAGTTTGATGATGATTGAGGCAAAAATGTGACCGCTGGAGTGTTAACAAGGTTTTTCTATTTTTAGCTCCGGTGACCTACTTTTTCATCTGAGATGACCCATGTTCGAACTCATCCGAGCTATCACCTAGACAAACATCCTGACCAAGTTTGATGATGATTGAGGCAAAAATGTGACCTCTAGAGTGTTAACAAGGTTTTTCTATTTTTAGCTCTTGTGACCTAGTTTTTCATCCGAGATGACCCATGTTCGAACTTATCCGAGCTATCAACTAGATAAGCATCCTGACCAAGTTTGATGATGATTGAGGCAAAAATGCGACCGCTAGAGTGTTAACAACAAAATGTGAACGGACGGACGACGGACAATCATTGATCCTAAAATATCACCCTGAGCATGCTCAGGTGAGCTTAAAAAAAAGTACATCTGCTGAATGAATTATTTCCACTGAAAAAAAATCCTTTAATCTTGAATTAATATTGGTAACAGTTTACAGTCCGCCTCTAAAATTGAATGTCTCTTGTATATCTTTTTGTTCGGCATCGAAAACAACTTGAAACAAGATGGCCATGATGGCCCTGAGGTCGCTCACCTGTATTTAGGCCACCCCAATGCAGGGCCAGTTTAAACCCCAGGGCTTTTATTTGAACAAACTTTGTAGACACTCATCAGAAGATGTTTCATGCTAAACATCTAATCTCTAGCTCATTGGGTTTTTTTTTAAAAGAAGATTTTTTAAAGTTTTTACTGTACACATATAGTTAAAAACAATGACACCCCTGGGGCAGGGCCAGTTTTGACACCAGGGCTTTAATTTGAAAAATCTTTGTAGAAACTTACTAGAAGATGTTTCATGCTTAATATCTAAACTCTAGCTATTTGGGTTTTTTTCAAAGCAGATTTTTAAGTTTTTGCTTATACACATATAAGGAAAATCAATGACCACCGGGGCAGGGCCAATTTTGACCCCAGGGCTTTTATCTGAACAAAATTTGTAAACACTTAAAAGAAGATGTTTCATTCTTTATATCTAAACTCTAGCTATTTGGTTTTTTTCAAAGAAGTTTTTTTAGGTTTATGCCATACACATATAACGAAAATTAATGACCCCCTGGGGCGGGGCCAATTTTGACCCCAGGACTTATATTTGAACAAACTTGGTAGACACTCATTAGAAAATGTTTCATGCTAAAAATCTTAGCTCTAGCTCTTTGGGTTCTTTAAAAGAGACTTGTAACAACAGACAACTGGCAATATGATTTCACATAGATTGCAAACCTTTCTGCGTGCCTTGACAAGCTAATAATACCGGTCTGCCATACAAAAAAACTATGGATGTAAGTAATACATGTACCGGTATATTAACTGGAAACAAACAATTGAAACTTGAAGATTTACCTCTTTCAGTTTGGACATCTGTGTTTCAAGTTTATTTTTGAGCTCCTCATATTCCTCTTTAGTTGGAGCATTTTCCATTTCTTCCTTGATTTGTTTCAGAATTTCTTCAAACCCTTCAGTAGTTATAATGAAGTCTTTCTCCTTCAGCTGATGAAAAATATTTTTGTTATATTTTCGTTCAGAGAAATAAAATGTAGCGAAGGGAATTATAATATTTACTCTTCTATACAACATATTATATGTAAGGTCAAACTTTATTTCAATATTATCTGCTTTGCTCCTTTATTTTAACTCCTACACTTTTTCAGTGGACTTTTTAATTCTACCGTTATATAGGGTGTTTGTTATAGATATCTGGCTATCAGCCTCTTATTTTCTTACTTTTGTTGATTTCTACATAATGTTATATAATATTATATTTCAGTGTAACCTGGGACTAGCTGCGAAAGTTTGAATTTTAAGAAGGTTTCATGTTCTCAGTATCTTAATTTCACACTTAAATCAAGGGTTTGATATGCTTGACTGGTTGAGATTTTAATAGCGGTAAAGATAAATTGTTGTCACAGCTAATTGAAAGATATTTAAATTTTGCAAAATTGTTTTGACTTCACAATTTACAAGTACAAAAATTCAGAGGTATGAATTATACAGGTCACAGCTAATTGGAAGATACAAATGTTTTCAGGTTTTATTATCTCAAGTATAATAAACCTTCACACCCTTTTTCAATTTTCGGATATAATTGGAAGTAAATGTTCAATTGATATTACCCAAACTTAAACACAAAACTGTTAGGAATTCAGAATTAAGAAGTCCTGAAATTCAAAGGTATGAATTATATAGAATTTCGGAACCTTGAAAATTGTTCGGATTTTAGAAGTTTATCCAATTTTATAAGTTCAAGATTTTGTAAGTTACTCTGTACTAATCAATAAGATCTCTTTTCTTTATATTGTAACAGTTAAAAGGTACATAATTATGTATTTTAATGTGACTTTATCAATTAACTTAAGGAAATTATCTTTTGAATTTGACTATAATTTACCAGTTCAAACTTTGTTACCTAAACCTTGTCCTAAATTAAGCGGCTTGTTATCTTAAATCATTATAAGTTAACACCATAAAGATTTCAAACTGACATAATTCAATTTATTTAACTTACATCTTCAAGTTTCTTCACCGCTATCTGGGCATCTGATCGTTGGAATAGCTCCTTACCATCTTGTAAAACTTTAATCATATCGTCAATATAAGTATTTGCCTCACTTTCTTTTAATTCCATACTACTTGAGTGAAAAATATCATTCCTATACTGACGCACCTATCAAATAGAAAACACAAGTTCAATATTGTTCTATGCATAAATATACAGTGTTAAGCAATACTAATTGTTTTGTTGAAAATTGTTTTCGTACTTACCTACATATAAAATGCAATTATGAATTATACCTGTATTTTGGGAAAATGCCACATGGCAAATTTGGGATAATTGTGTCTTTAATTTTCTTTTCAATTTGGGACAAAAAATTAATTGTGAAATTTATCATTTGGGGAAAATATGCCAGCAATAATTCAAGATGTTAAAATTCTTTAAACAAAGCTAAATAAATCTTATTGAAACCGATCAGAAATTAAAGATGTCCGAAACGTCCAAAACAGTGAGCGAATTTTAACCTAATGACTTTTATTTGAACAAACTTGGTAAACACCCATTTGAAGATGTTTCATGATAAATATCTAAGCGCTAGCTGTAAGAACATTTTTTAAGTTTTTACTATACAGTAATATATAGGGAAAAACAATGACCCCCCCCCCCCTCAGGACGGGGCCAATATTATCCCAAAGGCTTTTATTTGAACAAACTTGGTAGTCACTCACAAGAAGATAGTTCATGCTTAATATCTAAACTCTAGCTCTTTGGATTTTTTAAGTTTTTACTAAATACATATAAGGAAAATCAATGATCCCCAGGGTGGGGCAATTTTAACCCCATGGCCCTTATTTGAACAAAAATGGTAGACACCCATTTGAAGATGTCTCATGCTAAATATCTTAGCTCTAGCTCTTAGGGTTTTTTAAAAGAAGACTTTTTAAGTTTTTACTATATACTGATGATAAAGGGAAAAACAATGACCCCCTGGGACGGAGTCAATTTTGACTAATATCTAAGTTCTAGCTATTTTGGGCATTAAAAGAAGATTTTTTAGGTTTTTACTATATACAAATAAGGAAAATCAATGACCACCCGGGATTGGGCCATTTTTGACTCCAAAGCATTCATTTGAACAAACTTGGTAGACACTGACTAGTTGATGTTTCATGCCAAATATTTAAGCTCTAGATCTTACAGTTTTCTGAAAGAAGATATTCAATGTTTTTTCTTTCTGTTGCCATGGCAACCAGAGTTCTGCTTGGAATTAAATTCTTTGAACATTTTTGAAATTGACTACCTAAGGAACATTCCTGTGGAGTTTGGATGAAATTGGCTTAGTTGTTTATGAGGAGATGTCGTTTAAAGTAAAAGTTTACAGACAGATGGAAGCCGGACGAAAAGCGACCACAAAAGCACACCATGTCACTTTGTGACAGGTGAGCTAAAAATGAATTGGGAATGGAGCCTTATATGGACCCATGGGATAGGGGAAAAAAAGCCTGTATACAAACAGTTCTATATACAAATCTACACTTGTACATGTTTACAGTAAATATTAACAACAAGCCTTGTGAATTGTTACATCAAATTTTGCAATAAAAACGATTGGTGAATTTTTATACATTTGTTGTCAATCATTAGTGAATTACTCCATTACCTTCATAGTTAAATTTTCATTTTCTCTTTTACTTTGATGCTGAATATACATCATTGACATTACAATAGAGCTGATTAAAGATAAGTAAGAGAAATTATAATAATGATTTACCTTTGAAAACAGGTTGTTTGTTCCAGTGACATTGCATGCAATGTGGCTATGAAAATACTGGTTATTTATCAATAGGTGTAATAACCCAGTACAATCAGTTTCACTAGCAGATTGCTTCTGCTTGTACCCTGGAGCATTTATAAAACACTGACAAATGCTCCAAGGGTCTGTTGACCACTGTTGAGCATCGCTGTTTTTCCAGTAAGGTGCAGGTGGTGAAGATGCATGATGTTTCACAATAAAGTCATAGATGGCGCCACATATGTTGTTCGGACAAGCAGTTTTGCCCTTAGTAAAGCAACAGCTGCATCTTACTTGCCCAAGAGGACAAACTTTGTTTCCAGCAGTCCCTGCTGGCTTATGGTCTGGCTTGAGAGTATCAACTTGACAGCTGCCACATGTCACAGTTGATGGTAATGATTTTGTAGACCTTATGTTCTGTAAGATATCCTTATGTTGTTGGTCAGCTATGTCATTACAGAATGGTACCAGTCCCTCCTTTAAATACCCAAGTCCTAAACCAGCCTTTACCCACTGTCTGTAGTTTTTCTTCTCTAACTGAAGTTGATGTGTCATCCTGATGAACTACCGATATCTAAACAAACAAACAAAACATTTTTGTTAAAATCTTATATAAATAGTTTAGTGTTAAGAGTTTTGTAACCATCTGAATGACGCACGGACGGACGATAGACACTGGACAAATTGTGATTACAAAAGCTCACCTTGAACATTTTGTGCTCAGGTGAACTAAACAATCAATGATATACAGTAGATTTGCTGAAATAAAAATCACACAAAGACATTTAATTAATTTATTTTGACAAAGTTCAAAAGACCTGACAGACCTTTTATCTCATCAAGGCATGTCGACAATCATCAGCAGAAAATAATTTGGTCATTTAAATTGCAGGAAATTTTTTTTTCCGTTTGAAAGTAGATCTACATGTACTACAATACAAATGGCGTCTGCGGTTTGATTTTTTTACCAAGTCACTTCATTTATATCAAATATTTAGAAACATCAGTTGGATCGTGAGAATCTTTTACGCCCTGGCGGCCGTGTTTGATTTTTTCTTTCACAATCCAAACTTCTACTAGCAAATGCTAGCAGGACAGTGGATTTTCTCAAACAGATTTATATTCATTGTCTGCAGTTTTTTCTGAAATAATTAAATTCGCTTGAAAATGGTTTAAAATGCTGTATTGTGTCCTAGCGTATACGCGTTTTGTTGTACCGTGAACTGTACAGTGTGGAATCAGTTATGATATAATTACACAGTCCTAGGGTATACCGTTACACCCTTAATGTTAATGCTACCATATTCGATGTGATCGGCAATAAAAATCTGAGTTTAACAACTTGGCATTTCACTTAATACTGCAAGCATTTTCCACATAACAATTGTTCGTACCAATTTATTTTTGTATCATTTATGGGGGGGGGGGTTGAAGGGGAAAAAATCATTTACATCTATAAGAGTGTCTTATTTATTTCAAAGTGTTTTAAGCATTATTTTCAATAGTCCTGTGAAAACCGCCTACATTTGCTTTTCATTCACTATATTTCTCCCCCGCTGGTCCATCAAAATAATAATTTCGCACAGTCAAAATATTTTGCTGACATTTGCAATATATTATTATGTTATGCTTTGATCTAAAATATCAGGGATTGTAATTGACCTTTTTGAAAACCTAGCTAAACATCGTTTTCCGGTACATTACGGATTCAGCTCTTGGGAATTACACCAAATGAAGTACTTAATACAATTACATGATATTTTTATTTTTCTATCATTGTTTAACAGTTTAAGGTGAAACAAGAATCTGTGCTTGATAAACACAAATGCCCACGCGCTCACTGTTATCAATAATTTAACTTTAGAGAGAGTGAAGTAGCTAATTTGTATGGAAGAAAACCAATCATGTGTAGAAATCTGTTATTGGCACCTTTGACCTTGACCAACTGACCCCTACCTCTATCAAAAGGAAGAATATCATGCAAGATATTTTCATACCAAATATGAAATAAATCTGTCAATAAATAAAGGCTGTATGGGCAAAAGTATAAAAAATCTATTTCTAGCACTGGTGACCTTGACCCAACTGACCCCTAACTCCATCCAAAGGAAGAATATCATGCAACTTATTTTCCTACCAAATATGCAATAAATCTGTCAATATATAAAGCAGGGTTCCCACTCTTAGATATTTTGAAAATTTATGGACTTTTCCAGGACATATCAAGGACCTTTTTTGATTTTTTAAGGACTTTTTAGAAGATTAAATTTCAAGCTACATGTATTTGATTTTTTGTCCTATGAATATGTTCATGGTAATGTTTAGAACAACATTTAATAACACCAATATAATACATGTAGTTCATGACATAAATCTAATTCTTTCTAAGAAATACATTCAGTGTCTATAAATAATGAAATGTACTTTGTGACAGCAACTGTTTTTGCAGGTTGTCTGCAATTTTCATGTAATTTTGCTGTTTTTAATGCTTCCAAGGGATAACTTTTTATACCAGATATTCATAGTACTTTAATTAGTAACCTCACATTTGACCTCAGTCCACTAAGGCTTCATAGAATGGCAAAAGCATGTCACACTGAAGGGTATATGAAAACTGCCTGCAGGTGTTTCTACATTCAAAATTTCACGACTTTCATGTTAAAATATTGTATTCTGCTTAAGCCAGTGCTACAGGGTGCACTTCCAGTACCATATATCAAGCCCTAGTCTACAACATTTTCAATTTTGCCATTTTGGATGTTATTTAGGGATTCTTTTTTGTATTTCAATGACATATCTTTTGATTTGATCTTACAATTTTTTTAAACCATCTACAAATATGGCGGCAGCATGAAATACCCAAATATACCCAAACACACTAAATTATAGCAATGTTCATTTTGGTTTGTATACAATGTTGATTTTAATGAGAAAATGAATTGATATTTACAAAATAATATGACTTAGCCAACTATAACTTTCGATCATTCCATTGAAATTGGCAGTTCAGATGTTGTAAGAAAAAAAAGAGTGACATTTGCTTATCTAACTGTTAGGTTCATTAATGAATAGGCAAATGTACTTGCAAGATATGATAATATTTGTTGTCTACATTTAAATTTGTAGGGTATAATTTTGTTGAAATTTCATACAAGTTCATTCGTATTATTTTTTTAATTTAATAGATTTAATGGAGTATACTGTATTTGGGTATATTTTGGTTCAAAAATGTATATTTGGGTATGTTTCATTACATCTTAGTGAAAGTGTATATTGTATTCATGATTAAAACAGCACTTTTTTAGTAAAACACATTTATTTTTAGTATTTTTTTGTTATATTTGGGTATTTTGTGCTACCCAGATATGGTGTGGCCAATTGGCTGTGCTCTGCCTTGACAATAGTTCATGCATGTAATACTATTTTTTTTATTTTATATTGATTTACCTTTGGCTTTTAGCATGGTAGTGAGCAATTAGGATACAAAAATTTGCCAAAGGAAACAACCAGGCCAATCAAGCAAACTTGAGGTTGATTTGTGACTGTAGTGGTAGCTGCCCGTCAATCCCAATAGTGGTGGCTGACCTGAACTGGAAGTGATGCGCGAGTGACATCGCAGTGTTCCTGTCTCTTCTAATCTGGTCTTCTTGCAGAGCGGACGTATCAGAAGCTTTGAAGATTATCCATTCACATCCTTTGTGTACTATATTGTAAGTTCCCATTTACCATTGTAGTTTTACTATAATGGTGGCAGCGGTGATTTAATTCTAGCTGCGGCCTGTATTTTTGACGCTACCAGTCAGAATCCACGTCAATTTTTTTCTTGTTTATTTTTTTTTTGTGGTTTCCTCCATTTTTTTTCCTCGTGGATTTTCCCCTTAAAAATTGTATACCGGTATCAATTTTTGTTCCCTAAGCCTAGCAATTCATTAAATTGAATTGCAGAGGAATATTTTAAGCACGATATTTCTTTATATTGTGTATTATTGGGTATAAATTGAATTTTATATCGGGAATTTTTATAAGGTATCTCGGGATACTTTCAATCGGTGTTTTTTCTGTCAATTATCTGTGAAGTTTTATAAATAAAGTGTTTCTATAAACATTGTATTGCTTTATTATTGAATATGGCGACGTACAAAGAATTTCCAGATTTGACAGAGTCAACTCATGCCAAAGTTGCAATTAATTTTGCTTCTATTAGGAAGAATTGGCTAAGATTCCAGGGGTAAGTGATAAGTTAGCTACCATTCTCTTTTCAATTAGGGAAGCTGGTGGTAATATTACCCCAGAAATATTGTTGGCAGTATGTCGTAAACATTTTACCGGTGAAGAATTGGGTAATATCGATTTTTCACTAAAAGAAAAAGTGGAAAAGTCTCTTTTCAATAAGGGAACTTCAATCGATGAAGTTTCGGAAAGGGACAATTCGGCAGACAGATCATTTAGGTCTATGAGTGAATTTTCAGGGTCTGATCATTCAGAAACATCTGAATTGAATATTGCTGAAAACAAAGCGGTTGAGCCTACTGGGACCTCAGGAACATTACAAGATCCTGTAGTTCGGCCTAAACAATTAATGCCAACTGGGACTTCGGGAAAAGTAAATGATCCTGTAGTTCGGCCTAAAGAATTTATGCCTAAGGTGCAGAGGGGTACTTTGGGGTATTCGATGTTAGATTTTTCTACACCGAAATTTCCCCGGAGTATTCCATCTGGCTATAGGCAATTTATGCCGTCTGCTTCGGATGTAGATGTATCAACAACCCCTGTTAAACATAACACGCCTTATATGGCAGGGGGTTATAGGCAATATATGCCGTCTACAACTACTGCAGGTGTTCTAACCCCTGATGTTAAATTTAACACGCCTAGTATGGTGGGTGGTTATGATAAAGACTATGGAACGCCGTTACGGTCAAAGTTACCTGCAAGTGCTTTACCAAGAAATATAATGTTTGATGGTCGTGGCAGCTGGGAAGCTTTTCATTTAAAGTTTTCGCATTTAGCAGAACGCTGTCAATGGTCATCTGATGATAAATTTGATGCGCTATGTTGGGCTCTAGAGTGTAAAGCGTTGGATTATTATGTTATTTTGCATAAAAACGGTGAGGGGCGCTCGTATATGTCACTATGTGATAAGTTAGAGGCAAGATTTGGTGAACAAATTTTGCCAGGTGCTGCACAGGCACAATTTCATCAGACGAATCAGAACTCGGGCGAGTCGATTGATGATTTTGTGGACAGATTTCTTTCTTTGGCAGGTCAAGCATATAGTGACCTACGAGAGTCATTCGTGATTGACCAAGTCATGAATAGGTTTTGTTATAGCTTGTTGGATAAGGACGCGGGACATTATGTTTATATGCATAACCCCGAGTCTATTCAACAAGCTAAGTTGATCGTGCGTAAATATCAACAAAGTTATCAAGCTTTGTATGGTAAAAGTAAACGCGATAAACGGCGTGAAGAGGAGAGGGTTGCTGCGGTTAGAACTGATAAACGTATCAGTCATACACCGAAAGATAACTCTTTTAATATGGATACTGTAATGAGTGCTATCAAAAACCTTGA